GACGTGGTCGTCTTCTTCAGAGGCCTAAACGTGTTTCGAGTTAAGGAGATGAACACTACCCCGTCAAGCGCCCAACCAACCCTAGCAGTTCCGATGACGTGTTCGGAACTCTACAAGGAAATTCTACACAATACGAAATGTGCACTCACCAGAACTCCACCGTGAATCCGCGTCACATGCGGATGTTAGTCAGTAGAAAATGAGACTTACTCTAGCGTCTCCTTATACGTATAAGGTTGAGGAGACGCACGTATCACCGGCTACTATAACTCGCAGTACGGTATAAACGGCGAAAGTTCATTGGTTATTGACGGACGCTCATCTCGGTTGTTCATCCTAGGATTTCTACCGGAAATCCAGAACGCCTCCAGCGCCTTTCTTGCTAGATAGGAGAGCCGTTTAGACGGGTAGGCAACAAATTAAAAGCTTCGAGCCATTTTCAGGCCTCTGAAGAAGACGAGAAGGTCGAAACTGCAGGCCAACAAGAAGTTTCATCTAGCAACCTCGTTTGGCAGAAGTATTTGAACATGCTCCTTACTAGAACTTCCCAGCCGGAAGATTAAGTAGATCACCTCCAATCAATAAAAATATTTCATTCCCCGTTGTTTAAAAATAACCGCTCCAGCTGGAGAAAGAAAATCAATATTCCTGCACTCCTATACGGGGCAGTTCGGCGACGGGGGCTTTTTGCACTTCCACTTGCCATCGACTTGTCGCCCATCTAGGCAGTCCTATCTTGAGTTACCAGGTTTTATAGTGGCTCGACGAGCTTACTCCAGCTCCACAAGAGTTCACAGGTTCCACCACAGTGGGACTTGTGAAGCGGAATCAGTGAAGCAGTGAAATGCAAGAATGCCCCCCCCGGTCGCCGAGCTGCGCCCTCCTAGACTCCCCATTTCCTCATTTCCCCACATATGAACTACTCCAGACCATTTCCACACCACTCCTTTCCCATTGGATCACCTCAAAGCTTAAGGGCAGCTGATGCAGTTCAGCTGACGGAACTGAACTCTTTCAGTTGCAATGACGTCATCGCCCCTGACACTTGTTCACCAACAAAGAAATACGCTTGAGAGACACTTGCATGACCCGTGGACGACATCGGGGACCAGAAACCAAACACTATAAAACACCCCATCATAACCGCCTGCAACCAGATCACCCAAAAATTTATTGATCTTACTCTCGTGGGCAGAAGTTCCCAATCCAAAATCCAATGGTTACCTTACCGCATGTCTCCCTGAGAAGTCAAGTCATAGTAACGATCGAAAAGTACGCATCCTGATCACTAATTCAATTAAAAGTTGAGCGCAGTTCGGTTTGGTGATGGCACCGGTTTCAGTACCTGTACAGGCCACATTGTAAATACTTGTAAACACCTGTAAAAGTGATTCACGTGTACAATTACGCTTTACAAAAGTTTACAAGTTTCAGCAAAGTGAAGACTTGTTAGTTATCATGAAAAGTGCTCCCTCCAAGCCGAACAGCACGAAAAAATTGTTATTTCAGTCTGCAGAATACAAGCTATCAATGAGAACATCTTACCGGTAAAATCAGCTACCTTCTGAATGACAGCACTGAGCGGTCGGAACCTGCGACACGTCAGGAGCATCGTTCGCTTTCACTGGAGGGCGAGTTCAACGCATCGTTATGGAAACGATATGTGACAGGACTTTGTCACAGGAAGTGATGACGATTTGTAGGGACGTGACCAGAGGGTAGTTCGCAACTGAATTGGTGAGAATTGGAGCGACCAGTGCGAGCGAGCAGAGGGAGGAGTTAACGTCGCCGTCGTCATGGGGCGCCGCGCAAATGCGACGGCGCGACATTTTCAACGGCGATTCGTCACCATATGGTGCTCACTGCTGAGCAGATAAAGGACGCTGAACATCGGGCCGATCTTTCCGCTTATATTGGCGCTAGCGAGGCAGACGGGACAAAAATCGCAGTTTGAGCGATATTTGTCGCGCCCTCAGACCAAAGAAAACCTGAACCCAACTAAAACTCTATCAATCTGCAGGAATCTCTTGCACC